GGATTTGCTGATTCCTTACAGCAAAGACTTGGAAAAGTTAAAAAAAAGAGTTGGAAAAGTAAAGAAAGAGTCTCGGTTTTTCAACATGGGTGGGTAAACGGAGTGCTGTTCACTGAAATGAATAATACAGTCTGGGAGAGAAGACACGTGAATTTAGGTTTGGGGAAATGTGTAAGATACCTAGATGGGGAGACCTGTCTGAACTAGAAGATTGTATCTGGGAATCATTCATAGGGAAGTGTAACTGTTACAAGTGAATGCAACCAAGAGTCTGGGATGTCAAAGCAGGGGGTGGGAGGTGACCAGTGACAGAATCCTTGGGGGGAAAAAACATTTTTAAAGAGCAGGAAAAAGAAAGCCCTAATTGTCAAAAATCCAAGTAAGAAGAGCCACAGAAGAAAGGAGAAAGGTAGAACTGAAACAAGGAATAAATGGCACAGAGAGGTTACACAGTCGAGAGCAAAACAACTGCTTTTTCCACCAAAGATGTGGTTACTACTACCCGTACACTAATATTTTCATATATGAGTAAAACTATAAAAAGTTAGTAAGACCAGAGATCTTTTTTTAGTAACTACAGATTGCAGTGCACTTCAGAGGTGAAAGTACTTGTCCGTTTTAGTAATAGTATCATACAATGGGTTAAAATATTATATAAAGGAAGCTATCTACTGATTTCTCCAGTATGGTCCTTACACATGCATGGGAGAAGGGTAACTTCAACTAATAGCTGTGCTAATTAACTATACTCCTAATTTTTTTGTCTCTAGGCCTGGCACAGTAGCCTCTCTTTTACACAGATCCCATATGGGTGCTAGTTCATGTCCCAGCTGCTCCACTTCCCATCCAGCTCCTGCTTGTGGCCTTGGAAAGCAGTTGAGGACAGCCTTGGGACCCTGCACCCCCGTGGGAGACCCAGAAGAAGCTCCAGGCTCCTGCCTTCTGATCGGCTCAGCTCTGGCCACTGCAGCCATTTGGTAAGTAAACCAGCGGGTGGAAGATCTCTCTTTCTCTCTCTCTCTCTCTCTCCTCTCTGTGAATCTGCATTTCAAATAAGAATAAGTTTTTTTTAATTGACATATATTCACATTTCTATACTTAGATAACTAAACTTGTAGCTGAGCTATCAGCAGATTAATTTTCAAAGGTGACCAACATTTTGATGGCTATTTACATAAGAGATGTATGCGTACCTGTTACTAGACTGTCATCAAAATGTAAAAGGTGATGAATATGTAGTTCATGCTTTAGGAATACTTCTGTTTAAATGACCTATCCGTGCCCCATCAAGGCATACAAAGTCAAGGAGCTGCCATGCAGGCATCGCCTCCCTCCCAAATCAAGTTGGGCTGAGAGCGAAAGAAGCCTGGAGGTGAGAAAGGGAGACTCGCCAGTGCCTCCTTGAAATAATATCACAATTACATTTTGTCCCGCAACACTCAGAGAAGCCTGATAACAAACTTTATCATTATTCCAATTTTAGTAGCAAGTACATGGATTTATACTTGATGATGACAAGGATGATAAAAGTAAGAGCTAACATTTATTAGCCACTCATTAGGCACCAGGATTCTGTGTGAAGCACTTTTCATGGATCACATTATTTAACCTCCACAATAACTCCTACTATCCCCACCAATAGGTGATGCAATCAGGACTTAGAGAATGATGTGAACTTGCCCAAGGTCACAGAGTCTGCAGGAGGTGGAGTCGGAATCCTAACCCAGCTAACGGAATTACTCTAGAACGAACCCCAGCGCTGAACTTCAGCTCTCAGTAAACACAGAACCCCTCTGAAAGCAGCATGAAGAACTCCACACTGGAGAGCTTTCAGTCTTACAGGACAAAGAGACTCTGGGGCAGGTGACAGATTGGACTCCTTAAAATCCTAAAATAATAATAATAATAAAAAAGACACATACACAAATTCTTGTTTTTAACATTTCTAATTCTCTACCAGACACGTAAATGTCTTTACTACTGTAAGAAAAAGGAAACATTTGGAGGAAAAAATTAAAAATGAACTCTTATGCAGTCGCCTGAGAAACGCAGGAACATTTCACCTCCAGTTAAGAGCTGTGCAGACAGCACAGGGCAACAGATCGAATGTTTAAAAACAGACTCCAAACTGGATCTACTAAGCCTGGCCTCTCCTTCCTCAGCATTACTTAGCTCATAAAGAAAAACGTCTTCCTATCACTGCGATACAGGACACTTCAAAGGTAAGTCACGTAATCTTTTTTGGATTGAAATGCAAACACTTTCTCTTGCTGGTTCAACCTAACTATGACTACTTCCTGTGCAGGGGAAATCTTTATCTATATTAAGACAGTCCAAGGAAATAGAAATAATATTGTGACTTTATCTTAAACCTAATTCTCTCTCCTTGGTCCTGAAAAGGTTGATCTGTGCACACTCCTGCATGTGGAGGCGAAATGAAGCTTCTGTCCTCTGTTCGTCTGATGGGCCCACTCTCAATGGACTGGAAAAACATCTTGAGGCCCTTCCTTCTCTTTCTCCTCCCTGTTAGCCACCTCGACCCAGTGCAACGATAAAATGCTACCATCTATTATAAAGTATTTATGCACCCTTTTGTGTTTTTGCTCTATTTTCAGGTACTTGGTGTGCACTCAGGTTGCTGCATTTATGAGAAAAACAAATGCAAGTCCCAACTTAGCTCCACTTTAAGCAATGATAACTAAAAGCATGCAGAGAGATCTTATCGTTTTCATAGCTGACTCCCATCTACAGTGTTTGCCCTCCAAAACTCTTAAGACTCCTCAGTCTATCATGAAATGCATAAATTTGCTCACTTTATATAAATAAAACAACCCCTTAGTAATAAACAACAATAGCTAGTATACCACTAATTCCTTTATAAATGGACACTCTGAACATAAAACTATTAATTGTCCAATATCTCCCAGTTAATCAAAAGGGCATACAAAACTCAAGTCCACATATTCCAGATGTAAATATGGTGTCCTTCACACCGTCTACAGACAAAAAAAAAAATCTGCTTTTACAAACAAATTTAAAATAGCTACTTAAGTTCACTGATGGCATTACACAATCAAGTCCACATCTTGATTTTATCCATCCTGGAATTCACCACCACCACCCAGGAAGAGAGAAGATAGGACCAAATATCCAATGTATCTCAAAATACAAGAAAGAGAGCACACAGCAGGGGACCTGAAGTTACTTACGTAATATGTAACCATCAGATCCAATGACAGGTGGTGTTTTTTTTAACAACCATGTTATAATAAAATGTTCAAGACTGAGATCCTCAAGTGACATGATGCGCTCCTATTCCAACTAGGATACCATTATTTAAAACACATTCATTTTTTAAAAGAATTCTGTCAAAGCAAATTTTTAATTTTGAGGATAGATTTAATTTTGGGAAGCTGACCCAAAACATAGGAAAATCACAAGACTGTTTCCTAAGTATTTAGAAGAGACGGACCATTTAAATGGGAAATACGTGCAGTGCCATGACTGTCATCGGAGTGCATGCCATGTAGTAGGCTCACAACTACACCTTGCACATGTGTTTTCTCACTTAGAATCACAACAACCCCATCAGAATTATTACCCCTGGTTTACAGATGAGGAAATCAAGTCTAGAGGTGCCAATTATCTTGCCCAAGGTCAAACAAGAACATAACTAGGATTCAAACTCAGATCCTCCAGACTACCTAGAACGCAATGAAGAGATACAGGCGCTGGATGAGAGGTGACCATACACAGCCTCCAACAAGCCATTCCCATGGGAATTCAATCAGTCCTCAGTTCATCCAACCTGGTGAAAAAGTGACATACTGCGCTGTCACCACATACAAGACACTGTCCCCAGATATGACTACTGCTTTGTGTTTCTCATGAAATGGCTTGAAGAGCTTTCTAACTAGTGACAGTGCAGCCAACAGACGTGTACTGCTTTGGAAAAAATTAGAGACATTTTGATGAAAAAGTGCTATTACATATGTTAACAGTTCAAACTCACTGCTTCACAAAAACATCTTTTATTTACAGTCAGAAGTTGCAGCTCCTGAATCACTCGAGAGCACTCAGCCAAAGGTTTCACATTCACCAACCTACAAGTACATTCTAAAGGCCTACTCGGGCACACTGAAATCAGACAGACTAGGGGGACCTTTTTAGAAACTTCCTTCACCCACAAAAGGAGTTAGCAGGTTGTTTCCAGCCAAGCACATGGTCGGTCATTGCCAGGGCAACCAAAGCCCTCCTGCACGATTTGTCAGTTTGTAAGAGCTAATCCACAAAGGAATCCTGCTCTTTGAAAAACAATCAAATCAGTTCCATCATTACCAGCCCCTCAGAACCCTTGGCATTTTCTTGTAAGCCCCACATGGCTGTGGGTAGCTTCAGCAGCAGCCGTGTGGGTATTCATGAGTTAATTTTCCCCACATAGAATCCAGAAATCTGCCTAGCTCTCTGCTCCCCCCCTTCTCTCCCTTCTGGCCTCTTCAACCCGAAGTGGAAACTGCAGACACCAAACTCCCCGATGGCTCCAGCACCAGGCTCTGGGCATGCTCAGAAGGCCAGGCAGGCTTTGGTTGCAACTGACAGTTCCCCGCCCCTGATTTGCCGCTGCCCCCCTTCCCCCACTCCAACAAGAAATACTGAAATGTTTATCTGAAAGATACGAGGCCTCTTTTTTTCTTCCCTCAGAGAATGACCCCATTTTAATTTTATTTCCAAGGGTCCTTTGCTCTTGCGAACACCCCCACCCCGCCCGCGAGCCTGGGGAGCATCGCATTATTTTTCAGCACCGGGGACAGCGCCGCGCTGCCATTACCGTCCGCCCTCCCCCACATTCTCTTCCGCCCCTCACCCCCCACCCGCCCCAACCTCAGCCCCCACCCCCGCACCAGCACAATGCCAAGGTCTCCCAGCAGCCGCTAACGCCGCAGCTGCAATAGCTCCCAGCCGGGGGGCCGGGCCGGAATGCCGGGCCGGCTGCTACTTACACTGCTCCGCTTTGGTGGACATGGTGCTGTCCAGATGGAAAGGCTTTGCCCCAAAATCTGTGTCGTGTGAGCTCCCTCGCTCCGCCAGCGATGTTGCGAGGAAAAGAGCGCATACCCCCCACCCCCCACCCCCTCGCTTTCCCCCTCCCTTAGGCCCGTGTCGCTACCATTCGGACAAAACGCACATCAAATTGCAGAATTCGGTCCCGGAAGGTTAGGAAATCGCCCCCGGAGAAATGGGTGGGATTTAATAGGCGGCCAAAGGCTTCCTGTCCGTCCCCTCCTGGAGCTGCCCGCGTTGATGTGGGCGGGGAGACCGAAAGGAGAGCGCAGGCTGCGGCTCCTGGTGAAATGGGAAAATGGGCTCGACCGGGGGAGGAGTATTTCCATTCATAAGGCGCACGGAGGGGACGGGTGTTTCCCAGAGAAAAGCCTCTTAAAGTGCCGGAGTCCCCGACCATTTGGAGCTCCCATTGGCGTTCTCCGGGCCTGTAAATCCTGCTCGCCAGCGCAGCCCCCGGGGCCTCAGCGGGGCGGCCGCAGAGGGACCCAGGTGCGTCCCGCGCTTCGTCTCAACCTCTGGGAGGAAGGAGAGGGAGGCGGATCCGGGGCGGGCTGGAGAGGGCCGGGGCCGGAGGGCGGCGAGGATGCTCCCGAGGAAGGAAGTGCGGGAGGAACCCTCAGCATGGCCTCCCGGCGCGCCGCGCCCGCGCCCCGGCCGCCCCTTGCCGGCGCGCGCTCTGGCTCCCAGCGAAACGGTCCCACTGCTCCGGGGGCCGGCAGCCGGGCGAGGGGAAGGAGGAGACTTCCACGGGCGGTGGAGCTGCACAGGCCCCAGGGGAGGAAGATGAAAGCCTGGAGACTGGGGGAAGCCAGGTGTGCTCCCTGGCAACCCCGCGGGTCGGATGCGGGTGCCTGAGGAAGCCCCCTCTCAGCTGAGAAGCCCGAACCAAGAGGACCAGAAGAAGACGGGAAAGGGCCTCGTGCACGTGAGCAGGGAGATGCCTCGGGGCTCGCGCGGAGTGCCCGGGCGGGCGTTGGGAGCCTGGACCTCGAGTGAGGAGAGAGCCTGCTTCTAGACCCCAAGTTCAGAACCAACCTTTTAATCTCCCCACTCCTCTGTTTTTTTGTGGAATAGGAACAGTCAAAACCTGCCCCTGTCGCCTCAGAAGTCCCTGGGCAGATCAAATGGTGCAGTGGATGTGAAAGTCCCGCACAACTCCAGGAACTTGTACAACCCAAAGTTCCGAGCAGTGATTTTTTTTTAAATATTGATAACTACAGAGAGTAAATCCATGTTGTTCCATCTCACTAAAAAATAATGACCCTCATTTTCAGGAAAAGAATAGCAAAATCTGTATAAGTACAGAATCTTCTAGTTAAATTTTTGAACAATTGAGGAGAAACAGCATGGGCAATGATCATGGTAATTCAGAGTAGTTAAAGTCTGCAAGTTTCAGGGAAGTGGCCCGTTACAACGCAGCCGATGCGGGGACTGCAAGAGTGGACATCCAGAGTTAGCAACTTGGTCCTCTTTGAGTCAGGTCTGTGACTGGGCACTGCCACCTCCCTCAGTGGCAGGTTGGACCCATTGATGGGACAGGCTGTTCTGTGGAGCGATTTTTCATTTCCCCAAACTACAGCCCAAAGAAAAGTTCCATTCCTTAGTCAAAAGATCCCGTGAAGAACGCTGCTGAGGAGTTCATTTGGGAAAAAAATAAATCAATCCGAATCATTTTGAAGAAAGTACGAAGCACATAATAGTTCTGAGAAGATGACATTCTGTGTCATTAAAAGAAAGCTCAAGGATTCATTCAGAAATTTCTAAAAAGCTTGAGACTTGAAGAGTGAAAACAATTTGTAAAAGTCTAAGTCTAGAAACAAAAGATGTTTTGGGAAACTATTCTTCCTTCCTCTACTCGTCCTGCTGTTGACCATCACTTAAACTTTCATTACCCACCAAGAGAAAGTAGGTTACTACTAAGGTCATACACTGGGGAAGTGCACAATGAGGGTTGGAATTTGGAGAGCTGTGTGACCTTGTGCAAGTTACTTAACTTCCCCACACGTCAATTTCCCCAGCTGAATAAACAGTCATCTCATAGTCACATTAAAGACTTGTGGGGAGGCCAGCGCGATAGCCTAGTGGCTAAAGTCCTCGCCTTGCATGCCTGGAATCCCATACGAGAGCCGGTTCCAATGCTGGCTGCCAGTTTCCCATTCAGATCCCTGCTGTGGCCTGGGAAAGAAGACAAGGATGGCTCAAAGCCTTGGGACCCTACACCCACGTGAGAGACCCAAAAGAGGTTCCTGGCTCAGCCCCAGCCATTGCAGCCACTTGGGGAGTGAACCAGTGGACAGATTTTCCTCTCTGTATATCTGACTATTCAATAAAAATAAATTTTTTAAAAAGAAATAATTTTATAAATTCTTATGTTATCACTACTTAGTGCTATCAGATTAATATTGTTATACTGTGCTAAATGATGCTTTAATTTTTAGAAATCAAAATGTGTTAATGACACATTAGAATATCTCCATAAAATTTATTCTGAATTTGTGGTTAACTGCACACTGCTGATGGGACTGCAGGCTGGTACAATCACTATTGAAGTCAATATGGAGAGCACTTGGGCAACTGAAAATCCACCTACGATATGACCCAGCAATACCACTTCTAGGAATATATCCAAAAGACCTGTTACATGAGAAAGCAAAGTGCACCCCTATGTTCACTGCAGCACAATCAATAATCACAAAAACATGGAAGCAACCTAAATGCCCACTAACAGAGGACTGGATAAAGACACTGTAGTTCATCTACACTGTGGAATACAAAAAATGAAATACAAGTGTTTATAGCCAAATGGGCCAAACCGGAGACCGTTATGCTAAGGGAAATGAGCCAATCCCAAAAGATCAAATATCATATGTTTGCCCTAATATAAGATAATATGATGTCAAGTCTAATGATTTTTCCTGTGAATTCTACCTTCTTGCACTTCCTGATTATTTGTACCTTTGTAATGAGACCTTGTGATATAATTTATTAATTAGTCATCCACAAGAGACTGATTGCTTGTAGTCACCTGAGCTTGTCAGTGTCCCTTTTATCTCTGTTGTTGCTGCTGCCCATAAGTAACAATGATCTAGTCCTTACTGAACTCACAGCGATACGGCTAATAGTTCCCTACACTGTCGGGAGACAGCTCAGTGGCAGCATGATGGACTTGTGAAAACTCACGGAAGACGCGCATTGTAAGACTGGCCGGGGGAGGGGAGGGAACCTGAGGAGGGGGAAGGGAGACCCCAGTGCCTATTAAACAGAGTCATAAAAAATAAAATAAAGAAATTAAGCAACTGAAAAAAATGTTATACTTTTTCCTTTATTTGTTCAGCAATTACTAATTGAGTAACTACTACATGCCAAATACTGTTTTAGGCACAGGGGATACTTCAGTGACCGAAAAAGACAGAAATTTCTGCTTCATGGAGTTAATATTTTAGTGGAAAAAAAAACAAAAATAAGTTAAACACATAAAGCAGGTGGCATATTAGACATTGATATATGCCAAGAATAAAAAAATATTAAACTAAAAGAAAGAGGAAAGTTGTATTATAGGAGCTGAAACTTTGGAAAGAGTAGAAGTTTAGAGTAAGCTACATATAAACTATATATATATACACACACACACAGTTAATATACCTCTAGATGGTTTTTTTTTAGTGATTTTTAAAAAAATTTTTATTGAAAAGGCAGATATACAGAGAGGAGAGACAGAGAGGAAGATCTTCCCTCCAATGATTCACTCCCCAAGTGAGTGCAACAGCCAATGCCATGCTGGTCGAAAGCCAGGAGCCTCTTCCGGGTCTCCCACACGGGTGCAGGGTCCCAAAGCTTTGGGTCATCCTCGACTGCTCTCCTAGGCCACAGGCAGGGAGCTGGAAGGGAAGCGGGGCTGCCAGGATTAGAACCGGCGCCCATATGGGATCCCAGGCATGCAAGGCGAGGACTTTAACCACTGCGCCACCGCGCCGGGCCCGATGTTTTTAACTTCATATGATTAATATCATACTGCACATATCATATTAAAATTTGTGCTACTGGGCCATGTACTATGGCACAGTAGGCTAAGCTGCCACCTGTGGCACTAGCATCCTATATGGACACCAGTTCATGCCTGCTCCACTTCCAGTCCGGCTCTCTGCTCATGGCCTAGGGAAAGCAAAGAAGGATGGCTCAAGTTCTTGGGACTCAGCACTCTCCTGGGAGACATGGAAGAAGCTCCTGGCTTTAGATCAGCTCAACTCTCGCCATTACAGCCATTTTAGGAAGTGAACCAGCAGATAAAGATCTGTCTCTCCCTGCTGCAACTCCTCCTTTCAAATAAAAGTAAAAATAAATCTTAAAAAAATACTGTTGCTCAATATTACATTTTTACTTAATTGTGTTAATAAAACTTATTCATTCATCTTTTACTTCTCCACAGTATTTAGTTTTATAAATGTCCCACAACTTATCTACTCATTATAGGATTGATAGTAATCTTGTTTATGCCTCATTTTTTGCTACTACCAAAGGAAAATTACCATGAGTATTCTCACACACGTGTCATTATGAAGATGTGGGAGAACTCACCAGGGCAGGTGTGACCTCAGTGTTTCCTAGAATCTGCCCAATCCCTCACTGCAACAACCATATCAACACTGACCCTCTCTGCTTTCCACTTCCACTGTGGCCAAATAAATAGTTGTCAGGTTCACCTTATCAAAGATAACAACTTCTGAATAAAAGACTTTTGGAAGAGCCATCTAAAGGAATAGAGAAATTCTGGTAGGTATAAACACTTTAGATGCGTTTCCATTCTTCACAGCCTGTGTGTGACCTGAGGGATGCCACACCTGTTATCTGAAGATTCCAACATCATACTCACAGCCTTTTAGTCTGAAATAGAAAACTGCACAGTTTGAACCGGCCATATCCAGCGAAAAATAAGGTAGAAACTGAGAAAAACGCCAGACTGAAGAAGGTGTCTGCTCAAATCACTATCTCATCTCCACACTATTCATGTGCAATCAAGGATAAAAGAACTACAGTGAACACTTGAACTACAGTGAACACTTGAACTTGCTGTTCCATTAAATTAGATCCTTGTTTAAAAAAAAAAATCAACACCCTTCACCTAATTCAGTCTCCACAAAATACTATTTACAATGTCCAAGGTACAATCTGAACTTACTCGACACATTAAGAAACACAGAAATGTGACTCATTTGACTTTCATCACGACAATCTAAAGAAAATGAGCCCAAGGTGAAGCACATGCTTTAATTAGCAAAGGTTTTAGATCATCTGTTCCTCTAAATGAAATGAAAGAAGATATCACCAGGCCAGGCATGATGGCCTAGTGGCTAAATACTCCAGGATCCTATATGGGCACCACTTGCATGCACCAGGATCCCATATGGGCACCACTTCGTGACCTGGCAGCCCCACTTCCAATCCAACTCCCTGCTTATGGGCTGGGAAAATGGTAAAGGATGGCCCAAAGCCTTGGGACCCTGCACCTGCCTGGGAGAGCCGGAAGAAGTTCCTGGCTCCTTGCTTCCAATTGGCTCAGTTCCAGCTGCTGCAGTCACTTAGCAAGTGAACCTGCAGATGGAAGAATTCTCTTGCTGTATCTCATCCTCTCTGTATATTTGTCTT